ATATATATATATATATATACACATACATACATACACATACATACACACACACACACACACACACACACACACACACATATACAACAGGGTACTATTGAAGCAACTCAAATCCTTGGTGTCCTCATGTAAAAAGAACATTTGTAGGGTGTTTGTTTGATCTCCAAATATTTGTCCTATCCAGATGTTCATGTTAATTTAACCTTCCCTCTCTCTAACAGAGCAACTGCATTCCATATTTGATTTTTATCTTCTCTTAACTGTCTAATGTGTGAAAACAAGCTGAGTCTCTGGAGATGTGCAGAGCCAACTATTTCATACAAAGGGGTAGTAATCAAAATTTTACTAGAATCCTTACATTTTTGTTAATTTTTTTTAATAGGTTTGAGCGGATGATCAAAAGTAAGGGAATAATTATCATTGTTTGAAACTGCTTACTATATACACTGGAGATCATTGGTCGCCTCTAGATAGGCAGAGACCCCTTGATTTCTTTTTAAGCACTCACCAAGCCTGATCTTCTGTAGACCCTCTAACTATACAATCTTTGATCCTCACCAAAGGCATTCTGTGGGCAGAGCGAGCCATTACAAAATGTGCATAGCTATTCCCAAAACAATGAAGCTGCCTTGGTTAGTTTTCCCCTTGTTGTTAGCCTCTAGATCAGCTTAGTCCAAATCTAGGAGTCATTATGGCATGAATGAATATACAGAAATATTGGTATAATGAGGCAATTTGAATGAGAAGATGATATTGGGAAAGTAAGACTTAAACATAGGGCTGCTGTTTTGAGCACTTGTATTACATATTAATGTATAGTCCTGCCTTACAAGTTCATTGATGTTGAGTTGGATCAGATGATACCTGTCTTCCCATAATCTATCTTTTGTACAACAAGATGCATCTTCACATATTTCAGAAATTTCTAGACAGTGCTGCATTAGCAGTGCTGCACTCAGTGGCATCTATGGAACCCCAAAATTAAATGCAAAATGTTTGATTTTAAATAGCTAAAATCTTGAGACATCGTCAAATTGTATAAGATCTGGGCATTTTTAAACATTATTTTTAGCACCTTTGACACAGCAGTTCTCGGGATAGTATCTCCTGCTTAAAAGGCTTGCTGATTCTGATGTAGAATGTGCACTCATACAATCTGATGTGCATCAAGCAGTCAATACCCAATTTTTATGTGGGATAACAGTGGTGCTATCTTGTGTTTATGTATTCTGCAGTTGCGTACCCACAGGCCTTATTCATTATGCCCCACTTGAATGTTTAATAAACAAGGCATGCTCTTGATTCCCACTGTACACAAGAGATGGATTTTTGGAGCACTATTATCTGATCTAGCCAATGGCTCTGTAGTTGAAAACTGGAAAAATTGTGCACATAATTTTCAGCTCAGCTCAGAGACCTTAGGACAGTGTTGTCCAAACTTGGCCACTTTAAGATGAGTGGACTTCAACTCCCAGAATTCCCAAAATGTGCATA